GCTTCTTAGTTCCTTTCAAATAGCTTGATGAAGGTGGCTGCTTTTCCTGCCAGTGTGTAAGACTGATTTAGACATCAAGACGACTTTGGAAGTGAAGGAGATCAAAATATTTTACCCCCAAATATATTTCTTTGACATATTTTGAAATGGCTGCTGCAGAGCCAGCAGACTGAGGGGGGATAATTTGCATCTGTGGAGAATCTCCATTAATGCAAGCCAAGCCTTCACTTTCTAGGCCTTTTCTGGATCTAAGAGAGACTAACTGAGAGTCTGACACAGTAAAAGGTCTGAAAAGAAACATTTACCATCTATTGTCTCTGAGGGCTGCTACCAGTAAGTCTTCATCTATACAACAAGACCACCTTTGCAAGCCAAGCATCCTCTTTTCTCCCTCCCGTAACCTGTCTTGCTACTGAAATCTGATTTACCACCATCTTCTGTTTTTGGCCATGCTCTGGGCTCGCTTTCTGTCCCTAATCTCAAGATGGTATATAAGCTTCTGAAGCTTACCAGGGAGTTGGGTCTTTATTCTGAAGGCTCCTGTGTATACATCTTACATTAATGTGTATGCCTCATGTCAGTGACTTTCAGTGAACTTCCAGAGGGCCAAGGGCCTCTTAAAAGAGATGGAATCTCATTTTGTGGCCCAGGCTAGAGTGCACTGGAAGGATTGTAGCTCACTGCTGCCTTAACCTACTGGGCTCTAGCGATACTCCTGCCACAGCCACCCAAGTAGCTGGGACTACAAGTGTGAGCCACTGCCCCTGGCTACTTAATCTCAAAGCCCCATATGGCGACATACACACACACCATTTTACAGGTGGTATTCCTGAGGTCCAGAAACATGAGTAATTTAGTCGAGGTCACAAAGTGTCAGAGTCAAGATTTAAAAGCATCTGTCTGGTTCTCAAGTTCATTCATTTCCTTTGGCTGAGGCTGTATCAGGGATAGCACATTGTGGATAATGAGATACATGTTTGAGCTTTGTTCTGTTCTTGTCACAGAGCACCTAAAACCCTTGGAATTTCCTGAATGATTCAGGTATCTTTTGCTATTGATAAGGAGCCACTTTCTATCATCTGGGTTTGGGCTAATTAGGTCACTTAGGATGGGAGCCCCCAGACAGCCTCAGGATGAGGACAGGCACCTGAAAGATGCAGTGCGCATAGGATTCGAAGGCTAAAACTTTCAGCCCTACCCACCAACCTCCAGGAAGGGGAGTAGGAGACTTGAGATCAAATTCTATAAAAATTCTGAACAATGAGATTTGATGAGTTTCCAGGTTGTGGAACACACCAAGGAGCAGGGAGGGTGGTATGCCCGGAGTAGGCACAGAAGCTTCCTGCCCTTTCCCCGTCCATAACTTGGCCCGTGAATCTTTTCCATCTGAGCTGTACCCTTTACAATTAACTGGTAAATGTGAGAAGCATTTAACCAGAGAGACTACATCTTGAATAGGGGCTGGGTAAAATGAGGCTGAGACCTACTGGGCTGCATTCCTGGGTGGGGAGGGGTAGGCATTCTTAGTCCCAGGATGAGATAGGAGGTCAGCACAAGATACAGGTCACAAAGACCTTAGCAGGCAGTAACAAAGCTGGCCAAATCCCACCAAAACCAAGATGATGATGAGAGTGACCTCTGCTTCTGCTCATTATACGCTCATTATAATGCATTAGCTACTAAAAGACATCCCACCATTGCCATTACATTTACAGATGCCATGGCCAAGTCAGAAAGTTACCCTTTGTGGTCTAAAGGGGGTGGAACCCTCAGTTCCACCCCTTTCCCAGAAGACTCATGAATAATCCACCCCTTGCTTAGCATATAATCAAGAAACAACCATAAAATAGCCAACCCTCTGCCTATGGAGTAGCCATTCTTTGGTTTATTGACTTCGCTAATAAACTTGCTTTCACTTTATGGATTTGCCTCAAATTATTTCTTGCATGAGATCCAAGAACCCTCTCCTGGGGTCTGGATCAGGACCCCTTTAGGGTAACAATTTAAGCAAATTAGGAGATGGTCATGGGAATCCCTAATTTATAGCCAGTCAGAAGTATGAAGGGCCCAGACTTGCAACTGGCATCTGAAGTGGGGCATTCTTGGCCTGAGCCTTTACCCTGTGGGATCTGACACTATCTCCAGGTAGACAGTGTCAGAATTAAATCAAATTATAGCATACCCAGTTGGTGTCCACCGGAGAAATGATGTGTGGGAAAAAGCCCACACATCTGTTCAAAGAAGTGTTTTGTGTTTGAGTGCAGACAAAAATGGTATGCGTTTCAACAGACATATTCTGTGCTATCATTCTGTCAGACAAATGTAAAGACACATTTCTTTATTTTCTCATAAAGGAAATTTTTCTGAGGTCTCACTCTTAGACACAAAAACTTTCCATCTATTGTGTCTTCTAATGGATGTAAACTATATAACTGCTTTCTCCCACCTGTCTAAGGCAGAGCATTAACATATTAAAAAGTGTGTCTTGACCTGTCATCCCCTCCTCTCTTGACTAATGTCAACATTTCAAATTTTGTCCCATTTAGGAAAACAAGGATTCTCTGTCTGCAGGCTATTCAATATCAGGTTTACAAACAGGTGGAATTCTCTTTCCAAAGAAAAGAGGAAAATAAATTGGAAAAGCCTTTTGGGTGAAGATGCAGGTCATTAGCAGCTTGACACGCAAGAATTCACATTGAACCTGGCCGTGTCTGACATTAATGCAAATACTCACCCTGGCCCCTGTGGGCTCAGGAGTGAGAAACAAACACAGTGTGACAAGATGGATACTGGCAGCTTTGCACTCGGGTGGGGGCAGTAAATGCAGCTACGGGGTCCCTCCCCACCCCAAAGCCCACTATTCTATGCTATGAAAGGATCTAAGGCCATATGATAGGGAATAGAAAGTGACATTGTTTTGTTATTTTCTGTCATATCCAAAGAGACTGTACATTTAAGGCAGTAAATAGGCTCAAGAGAAATACCAGAATGAGGAAGAGGCTGTCCCAGGCAGTGAAGGAACAACAGGTGTGCATGAGATGAAGGAAAGGAAAAAGATCCTCTTCACAGTGTTGTCCAGGTCCAGAATTTCTTCTCGCCCTCCTCCTCACCCCTATCTTCACCCCCTTGTGCAAGATAATACTTGAGGTGATGAGACTTTAGAGGCAAACTTCTAGTTCACATCCATTCCCCGCATTCTTGCTGAAACAACTGCTCATGATTCTCATCATGGTCTCCCTACTTCACAACCCCAGCCGAGCCGGGGGGAAGTCTTAGTTCATAAGGGATTAAAAAGACCTCCTTATGAGAGGCAGGTGCAGTGCTAAGCACTCAACACACACCATCTCTTTTAATCCTCCCTGAAACTGCTTAATTATTACTATTGTTCCCACTTTACAGATGAGAAGACTGAGGCTCAAGCATCTTAAGTGAGCAACCTAAGGCCACCAGCAAGTCGGAGCTGAGATGTGAATCTAGATGTTCTGACTCCAGGCCAATGGTTCTGGGCCTGTGAATTTCAGTTTCTGCTTCTACAAATCCCCGTCCCCACACACACTCCAGATGAGATATCCAAAAGCATGAAGCAGAAGTGTATTTGAGGAGTCACTGAAGACCTGCTCCAAGTACTGCTGCAGAAGGGAAATTTACAGGGAAATGAGATTTGCTACAAAAACAGCATGGTCCAGCTCTAGTGCTAGACTCCAGCTTCTGGCAGGAAGAAATTGAGCCATGGTATAACAAGACTGCCATGGGTAGCTTCACATTTGAGAAGAAACCAAGGTCCCAGGCCCTCAGTATGAAGAAGTCTGTGGGAACTTGAACTCACACCAAGCCCTGGGACACCAAGCTGCATGCTTTCTTCATGTTCTCTAGTAGTGTTCTGAGCTGACCCAGAAAACAGGAATATGGTAGAAAGGACTGAAGGATTGATTGGACACCTAATTGGATATTTGTCAGAAATACAGTGGAGAGGATTCCAATATTAAATCAATTACATTTAATTAGGTGACTTTTGAAATTCCTCCAACCCTAAAATTCCATGAGAAGAAATATGACTTTGTATTTTTATATAACTTTGCATATTTAGGAAAAGGAAGATGAGAACAATAATAGAGGTAACAACACCGTTTTACTGAGATCTCACTAAGTGCCTGGCATTCCTGTGTCTGATTCCTAGATGCTATAACCCAGCACCATCTGGACAAAGTCAGTGGCAAGAGGTAGAACAAGGACAGCAACAAATTAATTAACTAAGTAGAAATTTAATTTGAGCGGAGTCCAAGGGGAATTGTAATTCATTTTGGCAGGTTGCACAAGACTCGTTTTGCCCTTCAACAATGCAAAGAAAGAATTAGACAAAGGAAGCTTCATGAGACTGCCCTACCATTGCCAGTATTCCTGGCAACATACATACCCACAGGTCTGCAGAAGCAAACACAGTAGAACTGCATAAAAGACAACACTTCTGACAAGTGATCCTGGCATGAGGGGGAAGTTGAACCTTTCCTTTAAGAACCTGTAGTGATGATCATAACCATAATCACTGTTTGTAAAAATACTCACATATGCACTTTCTCACTTCATTTTTTTACTCCACTTAATTGAAGGCTATCTTAGCACCTATTTGCCATTTTGGACTCCTTTCCAAGTGGATCCCCAACTAGATCACAAGTTTCTTTAGGACAAAGCCCTGGCAAATTTCTCTGCCCCTCCATAGCAATCTCTGATAAGTACAGAGTAGTGTGCAGAAAACACCAAAGGAATGGAACAAAAAATCAGTTCTGATGTGGAATCAGCAGCCACTCAGTGCACGTGTATAAACTGTCATTTGTTGGGACGGTGGCTTCAATATATAGTATCTGCCCTGGTCTCCCTATCTTCTGAAAAGGCTCCTCTAGCCCAGTAGATTTCCAACAGACTACATTCTTCTTCCTATGCTTCAATAGACCCTTGAAGTTCTTTTTTTTTTTTTGACCCTCTTGAGCCTTTAGAGGGTCCTATTGTTTGTCAATAATTTTTCACACACTATAGTCCTATGGAACTTTGCTGTTTTAGCTATCCCAGAGATTCTCAAACTTGAGCAAGCCTATCAATCCCCAGGGTCCACACTTAGATATTCTCTTCTGGAATAGAGTCAGGAATCTACAGTTGTATTCAGCCCACCAGGTAATTTCTGATACAAGGGTCCCAAAGGAATTATGAAAACAGGATCTTAATCTAATGAATGATTAATATTATGATTCCTAGGAGCTAGAATCTCAAGCGTGCTTTGTTTCTGGGGTCCTAGAATCACTGCTACCTTTCCCATAATTAGGTTATCTACCAAAGGGTATTCTGAAAGAAAACACTAGAAATAAGCCCTGGTTGAGTCAGAAAGCTGTCCGTGTGCATTGATACCAAACTGAGAGGGAGTGAAGCCTGAAAGCCAATGGAAAAGCAACCATTTTAGGAGAATGAGGTCAGAAGACAAATATCACATCACAGTGAAGGGATGTCACAGTTCTTAACAGTGCAAGGGGCCAATGAGTTATCCATGTGGTTTGCTTTGGCTGTTCCTCTCTATGGCCATGTCACCCTTAACTTTAAGCAGCAATAGTCTTTGTTTGCCAGAGCTTACATGTAGTGTGAGGGAGATTCTTATGCAAAGTTGTGAAATAGGGTGAGCTTTTGTGTATTTCCCTTTCTTGGTTATCTTTATCCTTATTTTGCTGTATAAGCATCCACTTATCCATTTAACAAGGTACTTGATGGCCTCAGACTTTCTTTCCTCTCCTCCACCTGAACCTACTTTCCAAAAAGCATGTATACATTTAAGGCTAAAGAATTTATACAGCTAAAAACATTATGTCTCCCACAATTACTTATATTTTCATATGAATAGATTATACTTATTTATACCTAGTTATGTAATCACGAATTCTCAGCCAATCATGGAGAATATATTTTTTCAAGCAATGGGAATTTATAGTACTTCTTGGCACAGATGTGAGACTAACTGTCTTGTTGCACAAACTTCACAAGACAATTGAACCACTGAGGCCTAGAAGTCATTCACAGAGAAGCCATGGACAAGGTTGATTGCATGATTTATTCTGTAGGTATTCCCTCCCCTTAATTCCCATAGTACCCAAGTCTGCATTTATCTAGCATTTTTCACAACATTTGTGCTGATCATTTTTACATTTCAGTTTCTCCCCTTCCCCCACTAGACTGTGAGCAATTCACAGAAACCAAGTCTTTCTTTTTTTTTTTTAGATAGAGTCTCTATCACCCAGGCTGGAATGCAATGGCATGATTTCAGCTCACTGCAACCTCCATCTCCCAGGTTCAAGTAATTCTCATGCCTTAGCCTCCCAACCAGCTGGGATTACAGGCATAAACCACCATGCCAGACTAATTTTTATATTTTTAGTAGAAACAGGGTTTCACCATGTTAGCCAGGCTGGTCTCTAACTCCCAGCCTCAAGTGATCCACCCACCTTGTGGATGTCCCAAAGTGCTGAGATTACAGGTGTGAGCCACTGTGCCTGGCCAGAAACCAAGTGTTTCTTAGTCATCACCATTCTGGTAAATAACTGTATTCAAAAAGATACATGCTGAAACATATACAAGATCTAAGTGACACATATACAAGATCCAAGAAAGAAAAAGGAAATTTCTTACCTTCCCTGCCTCTATAATTCAGATTACCTTACCCAGCCACCTCCAACTATATCTCATGGTATGAGCAAACGATTGGCAAACATGGCTACATACGAAAAATGAAAAGGAAGGGGAAAGAGCTAAAATTATACAGACATACTAAACATTTAAAATAATTTGCATCTAAATAATATAAAAATTTGTAACATTGAGGTTGCATAATTATTGAGGTCTTTTTTTACCTTTTCATGTTTTTTAAAATTTACCTTAATTACCATGATAAATTGGTAGCTAAGGAGTTAATAATAAAGTGATGAAAAGGCTGTGGCATGGCTTTTTGCAGAGACTGCATTATTGCACACCCATCTTTGACAAGGCAATTTCTCCACAATAACTGTAGTCTCACTGTATAATTATCTCAACCACTGATATTTCTCTAGAACTATAAGAAAGCCAAGAGCTAAGTAAACAGGCCTGCTGATTCACTGCAGATGGACCAGTCTATCTGTAAAAGCAAGTACACTAAAAGAACGCTCCGTGAATGTAAATGAGTTGGCTCTTGGTCCCTTCAGATCAATCCTTTTCTTAATCCAAGCTTTGATTTGTTGTTGCTTCTTTGGTTTAAATCAGATAATGTGAGGATGGGAACTAAAGTAAAATAACAGAAATAGTAAGTATTTTATTATTATGTTACTTGTGGTATTATTATTTTGTCAGAATTATAAAACTACCTTCATTTTAAGGCATGTATTCTACAGTTTACCCCTCATACAGGGCTTAAACGCTGTTAGTATAGACAGAGAAGAAAGACAAAGAGTTGCTGTGGTTTGAATGTAGTATGCCCCTGCCAAATCTTATGCTGAAATTTGATTCCTAATGTAGCAGCATTGGGAGGTGGGGCCTAGTGGAAGGTGAGTCATGGGGCAGATTTCTCATGAATAGATTAATGTTATCTCACAAGAATGAGTTTTCACTCCCATGGAACTAGACCAGTTACCACGAGAGCAGGTTATTCCTCCACGTGTTTGATTTATTTATACACCCACTCACCTGTCCTTGCCTCTACCATGTCTTGACACAGCACGTGGCCCTCACCAGAAGCTGAGCAAATGCCAGTGCCATGATCTTGGACTTTCCATTCACCAGAATCATGAACTTAAAAAAACAAAAACAAACTCTTTTCTTTGTAAATTACCCAGCCTCTGGCATTCTGTTATAGCATCAAGAAATGGACTAAAACAGGGGTAAAGGACGTATAGGTAGATGATGTTTTTTTCTCTTTGCCTGATGCAGAAATTTACTAGATCCATATGGACACCAGCCATCATAAACCTACCAACTCAAAGCGGTAAATATTTTGAGCATCTACCTCAGCATTATCCAGCATGTATTCCAAATACAGATGTTCAGGTCTTACTCCAGACTAAATCTAATTCTTTGAATGTGAAATCTGGAAGTCAACATTTTTCAAATACCTCCAGAAACATTTATGCACCAAAAGAAAAAAAAACGAAAGCCACTGATACAACAGATGCTGTGCAGCACATCATAGGATTATTTACCTGAAAGCATTAGGTAGAACAAGAACTGGTGATTTAGAAGGGATTCTAATCCTGGAAAACTAAATAATGTCCCAACTGTTGAATTACCTCATAAATTGCTAATGGTATACACAACTTCCCAAGAAGCCTTTAAGGAGTTGGGATCAATAATCCATATTGATTTTACAAAAACATTAAGGGACAAAATACGCCTTGATTGTCATAGACATCATTACAAAAGGTATTGATGTGTTCTCTGCTCCATCTCACAGTGCTGCCAACACCAAGCTCTGCTCTAGTTATATGGAACATAAGATTTTATAGGCAACATCCATCTTGATAACATGTCTGCATTTGCTTGAACTGGATTTAAGAACCTGGCACCACAACCATATCTAAGCAGTCACTATTGCAATGTATCACCTCCAGCAAACAATTAGGCATAAAAGTGTAAATGATTAAGAATGAACTAAAGCAAATGCTCAGACAGGGATAAACAAGACTAGTTGAATTTGTTTCTTGGCTTGCCACTTCTCATCCAACCATCGTCCTCAGTATCGTTAAAGGCACATTATGTGAATGTCAATTGACCATTTGTATTTCGACTTGCTCAAACTAGAACTTCCTCTACTCCTTTTCATGGCTGGTACCATAACTAAAATAAGGGCACTCTGCAACCCTGCAATCCACTCCTCTTCATATTACATCTTCTTCATACATGTGGTAGATTGTATTTTCCAAAGATAGACAAGAAAATGTTTCCCATCCCACCTGCTGTTCTGCAGTGTAAATTTGCTACCTCCCCTAACCTCCCATTTAAGGGTGGAATCTATTTTTCAACCCCTTCTTGAATTTAGGTACCCTGAGACTGATTACATGAGAAATGCCAATGTACCACTGCCAGAATCAACCTTCACTATTTTGACAACTTTTGCTTTGTGACTTTTGGAAGCCAGACATCATGTAAAAAGTATGGCCACCCTGAGCAACCATTTTTTGAGAAATCCAAGCCACCTGGAGAGGCCCTAGAAGATGAGACCCCAAGAGAAAGGGGCCAATACTGCCAATACTGGATGTGCCAGTGTGGTAAACATCTTAGAGGTGGATCCTTCCCACCCACCATCCTAGCTGATGTTGCGATTGGAGCTCACCACCCAGCCACACCCTGTCAACATTCCTGACTTACAAAATCAAAGAGCAAAATAAAACAGTTGCTCTAAGGCACTAAATTTGGGGGTGGCTTATTATATAAAAATAGATAATTGAAATAAATAAAACACTGAGTAGTGCTTTATTTATACCTTATGTATTTGTTTACTTACTTGTCTGTCTGAATGTAAGCTTCATCACGCCATACCTTTTTCTGTTTTCTTCTCCACTGTGTATGCAGTTCCTGGAATAAAGTAAGTGCTCAATAATATCTGTTACATTATTATTGAATGCATTTTTTTTCACTGGAGAGTCTGCAGGCAGCCAATAATGTACCCTGGTTGATACTGGTACACTGTAATACTGTACATTATGCCAGTTATTCTCTTATTGTTATTGGAGGCATTCATCTTTGTGAGGAAATACATGTCACGAAAAGTCCAGAAAACACACGGACAAATGCCGCATCATCACACTGATTAATCCATTCATGCCAGACATTGCAAATTATTTGTGTGGAAAATCAGACCTTAGAGATGACCTTGAGCAGTAGGATATAAATAATTCCCACAAACTTAGCATTCCAATAATGGAACACTAGGCAAATGCATTAACTACAATTTTCAAAAGCAGACCAAGAGACACATTTCATCTGAGGTCACCAACATTTCATTTTTAGTATAACTCCTGAGCTTTCACCAGGGTCACAGAGTGAAAAAAAACAGTATTTGCTCCCTGATCAGAACAATCACTGATACAGGGCCATAAAAAGGGTATGAACTTAAGGTATTGCTTGGAGAGGGAGCATGGCTTTCAAGGATAAGGAAGGATAAGCTATATCAGAAATACCAGTAAGAGCTTGGGTTCACAGTTTACACGTTTTCAGGGTCCTCAAAGTCATTCATTGATTAAGGATTTGATTATCCCAGCATAGTATTGAATATAATTTTCTTCATTGAAAGACTGATATCAAAGTCTATTCATCTCCTCCTTAATGCACAATAAAACCTTGAGAATTCCAGTAGTTTTGTATCTGCCAGCACATTAAGTGCTTATAAACTTGCAATTGGAGCCCTTCCTAGAAAGCATATTTATACACCAAATATGTTTTTGAAAATAATTTTTCTGCTTCTATAAGTAATATAATAGTAATAGACATATAGTTTCTCCAATTATTTTATTTGTCTGCAAAATAACTCAGAACATTAAGCAGCAAGGGTAACCTCACTTTGCCAAGGAAGCAAAGTCTGTTTCCTCGAGAATGTCAGAAGTTCATTTTCCCTAGCTCAGGGTAGCAAGCAATTACAAATCTATGCTGTTCCATGCTCTGCCCAGATGTCATTGGTAGATGAATGCCTATGTCTTATATAGAGCCATTAGCCCTAGAAAAGAAGATTGATAACAGCAATGAGAATGTTAGCAAGCCTTTGTTTGCCCTTCCCTGTTTTATATGAGATTTTCTTCATGCTTTTCCCTTTTCTTACAGAGCGTTGTAAATGCATTTGGCATTTGGTGATTTTGTCAAGGATTTTTCAGATTTTCTTTATATAGGTGGTATTCATATGTTCTCATAAGTCTCTGTGAAACTAACATTCTAATATAAGATTCTGTCTCTAAAGTTGTACAGGGTGACCACAAATAGAAATTTACATTAAGATGTTAAAATTTGCTGCCTCAATATTTTATCCGTATTCATTAATTTATTTACCTCAATGTCTCAGTTTTAAAGTACACCATCCTTAATGCAGGATGCAAACCATTATACATGTTAAATGAGCCAAATTGCACCCTCTGCCAATATCAGCATGAAACCCATCCTCCTACTATACCCACCATCACTAATACCCACAACCTAAACAATCATTCTTGGTGTCTGGCTGGGGCTTGCAAAGAGAGATTCTTGCGGTTGGCCTTTGTATAAAATGAAACTATTAAGGAGTAAAATACCTGAGATGCTTGTAATTGCAGAAAGATGGCTGGGTTGTTAGCAAGAGAGTCTGACACTCATGTTGACCACAATTTTAAAAAGTACAGTCATGCACCATGTAACACTTCCATCAGTGGTGGACTGCAGATAAAACAGTGGTCCCAGAAGATTATATTGGAGCATACATAGAAACCTGATATACAGTAGTTGACATTGACATTTCAGGTCAAGTAAGGGAAATGATTAATATTCAGTAATGGTGCTAGGATATTTGGTTTTTCACATGAAATATATATATATATACCATTTAGGTGAGTAAATACACTCTGTGAGGTTCACACAATAATGAAATTGCCTAACACATTTCTCAGAATATATCTCTGTCATTAAGCAACACGTAAGTGTGCTGTTTTTTCCCCCTTAAAGAAATACTATGACATGATGGTTACTGAATTGGTCTGCTTGGGCTATAGTAACAAAATGCCATGGACTGGATGAGTTAAACAAAAGGAATGTATTTCCCATAGGTCTGGAGACGAGAAAGTCCAAGATCGATGTACTGGCTGATTCAGTGCCCAGTAAAGGCTCTCTTACTGGCCTGTGGACAGCCATTTTCTCATTGTGTCCTCACATGGCAGAGACAGAGAGAGAACAAACTCTCTGGTGTCTCTTTGTAGGAACATGATCCCATCATGAGGACCCAACCACATGACCTCATCTAAACCTAGTTACCTCCCAAAGGCCCCATCTCTAAATAACATCACATTGGGAGTTAGGATGTCAGCATATGAATGGAGAGTAAGGGGAGACAATAACTTGGTCCATGGCAGTAAATAAGACCATGATGAAAATTCAGGAACAAAGCAAGGCTAAGAGACCATTAGAGGGACTAGTCAATAGTGCTCCCATATTTCACCACAGCTCCTGTGCCCAACTATGTAAGATCTGTCTACAGACTTACTCTCCTTGGAAGCAAAATGTAACATCTACATTTCTATAAAATAGGAGGCAAGTTTTCAGCTTGTATCTGGACATTTACAAAGTTCTACCAAAATGAGCAAAGTTTAAATTCCATATTACCCTGCCACCAAGGGACCAAATAAGAGAAGCAGACAACCAGGTAAACAGTGTACTCTGAGTAAAGACACAGAAAGCTACAAAGCGGTAGGAGAGAAAAAAAGCCACTTCCAGGGCAACGTAACCAAGAGCAGAGATTTAAAGGAGCCCTTACAGAGAAGCAGAGACTCTTGACTTCAGAACACAGCTGCATCTTAAGCACAGAAGAGAAAAGTACTGATACATGGCAGGAGACCAGAATATGCCACCAGAATATGAAGGATTGTTAAGCTGAAGGCAATAAAGAATAAGCAGAATCAAAACAACTCTCTGCCCTCCCTCTATTTGCCTAAAAGCAGGAAGTAGATTTACAAGGATAAAAGGTATCCTGACCCCCTTCTCTACCAGGGAGAGAAAAAGTTAACTGCTGAAGACAGCTTTGGACACCTGTAAGCCTGAAGACGGGATCAGAGGAATCTACATTAACAAGCTTTACTAACTCACCTTTATTTGCCTTCCCACCATTTGCTGCCACTGAAGATTCAGTCTTCTCTTTTGCCTTGTCACTTCTTTAAAATTTCACTGTTCTTTGTTGCAGATGCTATATAATCTGGAATTTAAAGCCACTGCTTTAAGACTATTCATTTCCTGGGTGTTTCCCATGTATTTACAAAATATCCATGCTATTAAATTTCTGTTTATTTTTCTCTCATTAATCTGTCTATTGGCACAGGGGTCCGTTTCAACAAAGAACTTATGAGAGTTGAAGAAAAGATTATTTTTTTCTAGAACCTCATAGTAGGAGCCCTAGAACCTAAAAATTTGAGAAAACCAGACTAATTTAGAACAGGAATTATTCACTTAACTATGCCTGATTACATAGGTTTACCAACTTATACTCATGAAGCATTGGAAATTAATATCACACTTCCAATTTTTATCATTTGTGTAGTATAATAACATAATTATCATTCTATAAAATGGCTTAATTTTATAAAAACTGTCAATCATTTTTATAATTTTCATAAAGTCATGAAGTTTTAAAACTCTCTAGATATTAAATGCCCAAGCTGAGAAGGTTAGGTAAATGATATGTTTTAGAATTGCTGTACGCACAAGGATTATTTGTAACTCCCAAGGACTTGCTACCTCTCATTTGCAATGCTGAAATTAGTTTACGAGTCATTGGTGTCAGCTTGGTTCACAAAAATCTATAAAAGAACAAATATCATAGATTGCAAATTATTGTCCACTCCGCCTCAATGTACGAGTCCAATGGAAACACTATCTACCCATCAGACTCAAAAAGAGACAGATGCCACCTTGTGTCTGATAGCTTCACGTGCATCCCAATTCTACTCCTCTGCATCTAGTTCCATTCAGGGATTATCCAGACACAGCCACGTCAAAAGTTACTGGGATATGTTACATGGAAAGAACACTCAACACATTCTGGTGCTAGTTTTTCCATTAACTAGATGTATCATGTTGGGCAAGACCCCCATGTGTCTTGAATTAGTTGTTCTCCGTGACCTCTTATAAGTAATAGACTCTGATTTCAGTTCTGACTAATGCAAAGCCACCTGCAGAAATCTAACCTTTTTACATTGAAATCTTGATATAGAGCAGAACCAAATTCCAGAAAAGCAAACCTTTTCCAGGGCTAAGTGGTGATGTACATTGACTTCAATCTGTAAAGGAGAATGTTTTCCGTATAAATGAAGTACAAACATGAAATTGAGACACAAGTGTACATTAGAGCCCGCCAAGCAGTGATTTATCATCAGGTATAGCAAGGAAAAAATGAAATAAAGTCAACGTGACTATAACTCTTTGTTTTCAAAAGACCTCTAACAATTCACTATATAAAGTATAACAGCTGCTCAGACTGTCTTATAGTTTAAAATAATTAAGAAAAATGTTCTCCAGTTTTATGTATTAACAGGTTCTGTAAAATTTCTTTTTAACTAGACCATATAACAACTAAAATCTTTCCCAAAAGAAAAACAAATAGAAAATATAGGAAAATATGGCAACTGCTAAGTCTCCTATCTTACCCCTTTAATTCTTTGTATTATGTTCTATTCTCAAATGAGTTTAGTAAGTTAGAAGGTAGTCGGGCCTGTGTCTAATGGCTAACGAGGGCAGATGACAGTGTCAGACATGGGAAATCTGTCCATGTTCTAAGAGACCTGCAACTGATCTGGCCTGCTTGGTGAAGCTATTTCTAACCTGCTACTTAGTCTATGAGATTCAGGTGAACAGTATATGGGACTCTGACCTTGAGAAGTATGAACACTGATTCATTCCATGTGTATTCACTCTATAAAATGTAACAAATCTTTTGCACTAACAATGTAGAAAGTCTGTCCACAAACCCATAGAAGACATTCAGTGTTTTGTACATCTTTTTTCCCTTACAGTGCTTTTCAGCCTGGAAGTCATTCCTACTAACTTGAAACAACTCAAGACAAGTCCTTCAGCCTGACCACAGGCCAAGCTTATCTTGATGTGTAGGTTGAGCTCCTCTGCCTGCCAGTTTCATCCCACATGTGAATTAAGAAAAGCTGCTTATTATGTTTTTTCCATCCTTATCTGTCTAATGTGGAGGGCAATCTCTTCAGGCAACAGAAGCAGATCCTGTCATCTCTGAAGGCTTAAGAACTGCTAAGCAGTTACCTCTCCCTGCCTCCTGGCTCTGAATTTTCCTGGTGTCAGTCATCAGCTCTTCTCCAAGAGCATGCTTCAGATCCACCTCTTCCATGTCATTCCATCCTTAATCCCATCTAGGATCAATTATGTCTCTAAAAATGAGAAATGTCTTCATCTCTTTGAAATGATTTAGATACCAAATGGACTTGATGGCAGAGGGGCCAATGTTCCTGATAGGGCACCCTCCTTCAGTTTTCTGTAACTCTCCCTAAAGGCCAGTATCCATGAACTCTAACAGACTTGTGGGTTCTTCGTTGAGTGCCAACTTACTGTACTCTACATAATAAATCTCTGTTTTCCTAAAAGTCAATTATTAGATCACTTCAGTAATCTAAAACTGAGTAATCTTTAGTTTTTTTCTTTAAGTTAAATAGCCCAAGTATTTTACATTCATTTTCCCCTGTCTGTTCTGTTTTTCTCTGGTTCCCTTAAGATCTTCTTATATCTTGTCAATGTACACAGCACATTCTGCAAACAGGCATACTGGGGCAGAACCTGAAAATAAGATTAATTTGTCACTTCCAAATATTCCGTTTCTGCATAGCAACAGCATTATACTGACTTCACGAGCCACAGCAGAAATTTGCCAACACCTGGTAAGTTTTTTATTTCTTTCATGTAGTGCTTAGTCATTGCCCTTTCTGTCTTTGTATTTGGGCTTCTGGTCCCACTATACATGGGAAATGTCACTCTCATTTTCCTGGTTTCCTTGACAATATATACAGAGAGGAGGTGGCCACTTACCTGACCTGGGATATTATAAAGGACACAGGGTAGCATCGGTAACCCTTTCAGATGTTCTTATTTATGACTGCATGACTTGAATAATCTATAAGGTGATTTTGTCAGAAAGACTTAGGGGGTGATATTGTAATTCCTACATGTAGAGCACTTTGAAGGGCTTTTGAATATATAACTCAATTTGTTCTGATAGCCTTACTTTGATATAGGCTGTACAACACAATATATTGTCCACTTTTTACAAATGTAAAAACTGAGGCATAGAGCAATTGATGACTTGCCTGTTGTCACACTACTATTAGAAATGCCAATCACAATAAAAATCCAGGCTTTCTGATTGTCTATCCAGGAGTCACCTTTATACACCAGGATTTTCATGGTTCAGCAGGCGCTGTAAGGGCTTCTGAGAACCACTCAGGGACCTGCTGCAAAGAAGGAGGCCACATGGCCAGGACTTTATGACCCAGCCCCTGCTTCAATCAGGGCAGGTTAACATGTATCTGTTTTATCAATTAGGCTTCTGTTTAATCTTTATAAGATTTCTGCTTAAAAACATATGCATTGTTTGAATACTCAGCACCATGCAAAAAACATCAGGGGAATAGAAGCCATGAAGGGTGGGTGGGTCCAAAGAAGAATAAACAAGCTAAGATATGAGTGAATTGAGGATCACCAAATATAGTCAGCGCCAGGTAGCCTCTCTGTCTAATAGCAGACCTGCGCGTAGGTAGATGGTCACTCCTCAGAGAATAGTAAAAGGGCAGCAGACATCGTTTTTATTCTTAATAAATATGAAATCGGGAGAGAAAATGGGGCAGCTATATAGAACAATGCACACACATACAACTCAATTACATTAACACATACGTATAATAATGGTACAGCAACCCCAGCATTGGAAAACCTCATGCACCTTGCTCACTCTGCCCTCGTTCTCCTTTGCTGAGTGCTTATTCGTGTCCAAGACCCCAACTTCCCATAAATCCTAATCTTTTCTTAAAACGAAGAAGAAAACACCCTGAAAAACAAAGCCTCAGGGGAGTAAGTGCATGATACCTCTCCTAAGGGATGTAGCATTTAAAAAGAGGACTCTACCAAGGGAAAGGCTAAAGATGAGGGGAAAAATATGAATTGTTAATGGTCCAAGTCAAACTTTGGTAAAGGAGGTAATTTACTGATTCATTTATTTTTATTTTTTTAGAGACAGAGTCTTGTTCTGTTGCCCAGGCTGGAGTGCAATGACACCATCATAGCTCACTACAGACTCAAACTCCTGGCCTCAGGTGATCCAAGGAGGTAATTTAGAATAGGAGCTCTCCCTGGAATGATTCGCATCTGTCCACACAGACACACACACACATTCCCTGGCATACAACCACCTCATCTGGGAGCCAGGCAAAGCTGTGGTAAAGCAAATGGAGCATAATCCTTAGAGACACTTAAGTCCCAGACCTCCAGCCACAGCCTGGGAGAGGTGCTGCAATGTGTTTTTGCAAAACTGGCAGCAGTGAGGTTTTTGGTTTTGCTTTTGATTTTTTAGCTGTAATTGTTTAAGCTACTGGATCTTCCCATTCTGATGTCTCTATCACACTTCTGTCATGTCAGGCGGCATCGGAGTGGCTACAGGCATTATTGGAATCCTGCTAAGAAGTTAAGTTAGGGTACATTTAATTTGGTTCAGAGGATATATTTATGTGGCTTACAGCTGTTTCTTTATATAATTAAATTATGCCTCACTGTCTGTCCCACCGTGGGAATGACTTCCAGAAATACTTGTATTATCAGCTAAACCATACTATGAGGGATCGGTACAGAGGGCATATTGCAATTCACTTGTCTCATACAGCACCCAGCTCTAGAAGTATATGGGCAATAGAGAAAAAACAATTTTTTAGTTTTATAGAACCAAAAGCTAGACTTTGGAGAATTCTTCAAAGCACCTGATGGGTAAAAGTCTAAGTAGAGGATTCATTTATGATTCTTACCAAAACAGAAGTTCTCATTTATGGGGAAGAGTCACTAATGCAGTGTATATAGTTATAGATAAACTGTTTTTTTCTGGAAATTCTGTGAATTGAATGTCTCAAAACTCCTGTGTTTATTATTTTATTTTTGAGGCAGGGTCTCGCTCTGTCCCCCAGGCTGGAATGCAGTGGGGCAATCATAGTTCACTGCAACCTCCAACTGCTGGCTCCAAGCGACCCTTCCTGTTTGGCCTCCCAAAGTTCTAAGATTATAGGCATGACCCACTGCACCCAGCCCTAGAGTCCTGTGTTTAAAGGGCAACAGCGTTACACAGTGTGGTCAAGCCTAGGCACCCCAACTATTGAAAATAACAAATTTCAGTCAACCATGTTAGATGAAACACTGAATTGCCTTCATAGTCTTTCCATAGAAAATGATATTATAAAATCATTTCACATAAAGAAGCGATAAAAATCTAATCAGCCAAAAACATAAAGAGGAGGGTATCCTAAAGATGTGTCAGGCAGTTATAATCTAAAATATTATGATATTTTCCAGATATAATTATACTTGTACTATTTGTGAATTTTATAAAATTTATATTTTGTTTAATTACTCCTCTCATTCCAAATAAATACCATCTTTGGTCCTTCTTATATATTTTTAATCTCCTCTTATTTTTCTTTATAAGAATTCCAAAATTGAATAAACTTCTGGCCTACAAATCTTGGATTTTCCTTTGCTGATAGTGACATTTGAGGTGAATTATACTTGGAAAATGTTTGTCCTCACATCTACTCAATGTAAACTTCTTAAATTCAGCAAAGATCAAATGTGATTATTTCCTTTCCTGTCCAAATTTTCTATTTGCTTGTGAATTCTCCTTCAAAACATCACTTAAAGCAAAACTGAAAGATTCTTCATAATATTTAGTACCATCTTCATCTTCTAGAAAAAGATGAATCATGGTTATAATTTTTATTTTTACCACTGCCCTTTGTTCAGTCCCACAAATGATTTAAAAAGCATAATCATTCTTGCAAAAAAAAAGTCAGAATCATTGCCAAATGAAAATGATTCATTCTTTACCAAAAAAGAAAAAACAATGCATTATTAACAATAAAAGCTTTGCAAGCATAAAAGTTATGAATCCATTTCTCAAAAATCTATTTCACAAGACTATTCATGCCTTTCATTTAAGGAAGCAGTACTCATATATTTTAAGTTTGCACATGCATATAATTTACTAAATTTAAATCAAATATAATATAATGTATCTACAACATAGTGGCTAAGTATGAAAGTCAGTATTTTAAGGTAATTGCCCATTTATATTAAAAGCCTCTTATAAAAATCTATTCCCCTCCTGAAATATCTCTTTTTTCCCAATGAGAATAATAGTCATAATTACAGAGTAGTAACACATGACAGATAATGTTCCAATTTTAGAAAATTAGCTCTTTCTTAGCCTTGCAATGAAACCCCTTTTATCTGACTTTGGTATCGGTGGCGTATGGAATAAGGGTATTATTTGGCTTTTCAGGGTAAAGAGATGCTTAGTAAAGAACTCACTAAGACAAAATTCTTATATGAACTAATACCAACAACACTCAAAAAATAACAAGATAACCGAAAAGAATGGTTTTGTTCAACTTGAAACAGTTGTTTAAAATTACATTTAAAGATGTTTTTTAAGTTAAAATCCAGTTTAATATATTCAGCACGTTGATTTTTTTCTTCTGGTAAATCTGAATGTTCAGGGAGCCATTTCCAAATGAGTCTTGACATTGTGGAAGTCTAGTATTATATTCACTCTGCTCAATTTATGCTTCAAAATTTAGTCAACTCCCCAAGCCAGAATATCTAGAATATGCAAATAGTCAGTAAAAAGAACATAGTGAAGAGTACTGGTCAGTGTGTCTGTGTCCAAGCCTACCTCTGCCCAACCACAATGTGCTTGTCTGTGAAGCAGGAAGTAGGAGGATCAGCTAAACAGGTTTTTGTTGTTGTTGTTTTTGGAAGACTTACTTTTTAGATAACTCTCTAACCATGGGTAAGGCTATATTCCCTTTAAGTCTCACCATAACCCCAGAAGGCGATTATTATTTTCTCCATTTTATAAATGAGGTGAGACTCAAAGAATAGGAACAAAATAGGTAAAAGTTCCCACTTCTTAACGACTGCCAGAGATTTTGCGGGTTATTGTACTTACTATTTAAAAATAACTCTGCCAGGTCTTCATTCTTTGGTATAGGAAAGTTGGTCTCAGAAAGTCTAAGTTGCACTGCTAAGAAGTGGCAAATATGTCTGAATAAGGATAGCTTGATTATAAGCCTTGTGTTTCTTCTACTTCATAACTGATGATTGAATCAGTTTTTCTCTTAGCTCTCTTCCAGTCAGATAAATGGACCAATGAAAGTGAGGGAATTGCCTCGCCTTCAAAGATATTTCAGTGTTCCCCCAAGAAGAGCTCCAACTCCACTTTTGAGGAGATGTCACCCTGAGCATTTCCATCAACCCAAAGGCATGTTGGAAGAAAGAAAATTACTAACAGGCTTCAACTTCAAATTCAGTTGGCCCAGAGAAATTGTGGGTATCATTTTGGAACAAGAACTGTAGCATGAAGTCTGTTCATAAGAATCATTCATCTTTTTAAAATATCACCACTATAAATCTGAAAGAAACGCTTTGAAACATAAAAGCCTGGATAAAATGAAGGTGAATACACCTTCAAAATTAACATCAAAATGCTTAGCACTTTCACTGAACGAACACTGATTCAGCCATACTAGAAATTATATTTTTTGTTGTTTTGTTTCATTTTGAGACGGGTTCTGTTGCCTAGATTGGAGTGTAGTGGTGCAGTCTCGGCTCACTGCAACCTCTGCGTCCCAGCTCAAGCAATTCTCCCGCCTCAGCCTCCTGAGTAGCTAGAAGCACAGGCTTGTGCCACTATGCCCGGCTAATTGTTTTATATTGTTATGTAGAGACGGGGTTTTGCCGTGATGTTGAGCCAGCTGAGCTCAAGCAATCTTCCAGCCTCGGCCTTCAAAATGCTGGGATTACAGGAGTGAGCCACTGCGCCTGGCCAAATACATTTCTAAATCAATAAAATTTTCTAACAACCTTTCCAGGTAATAGTCTTGCTTTAAAAACTGAGACATACTTCTTTCCAAAGTCAAGAAGATTCAGTGGCAGCCCCAGAGACCAGATGTGGACCAGATATCGGCCTAGCCCACAGTGTAGACCAGGTACCTGAGCAACCCACGGAAAGAACTAAGGCCTGGTACACAGCTGATTGTCTGTGAAGAAGAACAAGATTAAATCCCACTCTCAACAGTTTGCTAAAATATGACAACTGAGAGTTTGAAAATTAGTCAAAAGGGTCTTTAAAAAGGAACTTACGGGTATATTTTTGGTCCCAAGAATAACAAAAAAGGCTAAGCCAAAAAGAATATTTGAGATATAAGCAATTTAGGGAGAAATTGTTGCACCAGCCCTAATACAAGTGCACAAACAAAAAACTTAAATATTTTATTTGTAATCACAACACAGGAATTTATCAAAACCAATCACTTTTTTGGATACTGAGATTCATTTGAATAATTTAATATCCCCTCTTCTTCAAAAGCAGAGAGCAATTGCTGTTTCACTACAGCATTAAATGTAATGTAAGAAGGATTTAATTATGAGGCAAATATCATTTCTCCCAGATGAATCTGCAATAGGGAAATACACATAAAATTTTGTCACATATCACTATCTCATGGACTGTGGGCAAATTTCTGAAATACTAATTTGTCCTTAACCACATGAATGAATCAGCATATTGAGAGCCCTGTCCTAAGATGGAAAAATAAAATTCTACATATCTTTTGCCTGTTTGATTATAATATCTTACCAGTAGCACCTGCCACAGCATCTGTTCTCTGACAATAATTTAAAAAAATACCCAGGTTTGCTCTTTGTATTTTTCCTGTGAGTTTCAGCTGCTCCCTAAGCATAAAGCCTGAGATAAATCAGTTTAAAAGATAAGCTTGAGATTCTAAAAAGAAAAAGAAAGGAACCAATGAGATGGTAAAGAAAAGAGATACAAAGGACAAAGCACACAATCAAAAGCTGAATTCAAGAGGAAACGAGGGTCTGGGGAGCCTTTCATCTCTAGATAACCAGTTCAGATCTGTTGCTGATATGTCCCCATTATGTTGTTGCTGGAAATTGCTACCATCTGACAAACACCTAATGGATGCTAATATTCTGTTTTCTAATGTACTTTTGGGCAAATCTGAACCAATATATCCTCCTTCCTTCACCACACAGTGGTCTTTTCCCAAATCCTTTTAACAGATCTGGTATCTGGATTCAAGGGAAAACTGCTGCAGATATAATGCATAGCCATCCTCATCATATAGGAAATGTATTCTTCCCTCCAGAGAGCTGTTATATTCTATTATAACCACCTTCCTCCCTTAAGAATTGCATTGGAAATGTCTGTCTCTTTGACAAAGGCATGCCATGTGGATTACCTTTTACTGTTCTTCTGACTCAAATTAATTTCTATTCCTAAAATGGGGTGGATTTTATATGCTCCTTCATGCTGATGTGGAAAAGAATACCACATCACAGAATCTAAAGAAAGACTTAAGGTGCTAAACTCTGCCAGTTTATTCCTTTACCTCAAAAAAATTATAAAATTTTCCTTAGAAATAGCCACAATCTCTGATCCTGTTAGACAAATAAATTGTGGCACCCAAGGAAAGTAAACAAGAGGATTTTGTGATAATCGGGGGAAAGGAAATGTGGTAATATTTGAGCAGAGTGTTTCCATTGGCATTAGCACACTTCTGCTTGAAAGACTTTTCTGAATGAGTCATAATTTTCTCAAATAAAAGTTCAGGTCTAGCAGTTCTCTTTCTCTAATAGGTTATATTACATGAGTATCTGTCTGCTATAGAGACTGACTTCTTCAATACTCACCAATAGACATGGAATGTCACTAGATAACTGAAATCAGTGAAATATTCCAGAACGCACAGCAGCCCCAAGGGTTCACAGCTCCGAGGATCCCAGTACGGAACTTCCCTGGACCCCGAGCACTCTACTACACAGCATGTCATTGATGCTTGAAACGCTCTTCAGCTCTCCCAGGTTCACTCAGGAGATGAGTTTATCCTTCCTATAAATCCAAGAACACATATTCAATTTTGTCCTCAGCCAGCTGAGTTTGCCCTGTTGCAAGACTGAAAACTGACCCTTAACCCACAGCCTGCATGCAGTTATCCAGTCCAAGTCCAAGTGTGGATGGACATCAAGCCAACTCATCACCTCTGTGAGGAAGCCAACGAAGACCCTAAGATGTGTGAGTTTGCATATTGCTTGTAGGAATAAGGACTCTGTATTTTTCTTGTACCCTCAATGAACAAAGGCCTTATTCAGGACATGGAAACAAAAAGTAATGTCGTCCAACAGGGTTAACAAATGTTAGGTGTTATATGTGTATTGGGAAGAGCATGTCACAAAAATTTCCCCCACCCTTGCCATACTGTGGGTTCCAGACAGTGATCTGGAATGACAACGATGAGTTGTCATTGCAATACCCAGGAAAGCTAGCTGATGTACTTCCCACCCCCAAGTGGCACAACCAGGCAAGAGTGGCGAGCTCTCTAGGAAACTTACTGTGCCAGCAACAGAACTGCCCATCTGTCTCTTCTACTCTGGGAGGTCTTCTCATTCCCATGTTTCTCACAGTCCAAGAACACTGATATTAATCCCTAAAAAGAGTAAAGGCCAGAACCTTCTGATTTTCCTGCTTTGTCTCTTGATAATTCACAGTATTATCTGTTTCATCATGAGTCCCACGAATGAACATTCCCAAATCTCCTCCATGACTTTGCAATACTCCTTCCTGAACCCCTGCCCTACTTGCCTTATATTGTTGAATACCCAAAGAGTTTAACTGTGTCACTATAACAAAAGAAAACAATCAAAATTATTACCTTGCATATTGGTTTCTTGACTTGAAGTACTAGTTATTCAATTTTACCTTAAGATGTGATACCAGTCCATTTTCAGGCTGCTGATGAAGACCTAAGATTGGGAAGAAAAAGTGGTTTAATTGAACTTGCAGTTCCACATGGCTGGAGAGACCTCAGAATCATAGCAGGAGGTAAAAGGCACTTCTTACATGGCAGTGGCAAGAGAAAATGAGGAAGAAGTAAAAGCAGAAATCCCTGATAAACCCATCATATCTCATGAGACTTATTCACTGTCACAAGAATAGCACTGGTAAGAGCAGCCCCCATAATTCAATTACCTCCCCCTGGGTCTCTCCCACAACACGTGGGAATTCTGGGAGATACAATTCAAGTTGAGATTTGGGTGGAGACACAGCCAATCCATATCAGATGTTAATGTCAGCTCTGTTATGAACTAAAAAAGATATTACTTCAGATTCTAAACTTTGTAAATATTTAAAGGTTAACAAAGAATATGATACAGCCCAACATCATAAGGAAGGGTAGAGCCTTAATACTTGGCAGTGACTGGCAACTATCACCGTGGTGAGCCTTGCATGTTTGATTTATGAAAATGTGTGATGCCTTACCAGAGGAGAATTGTATTTGTTGTCTACTATGAAAACTAATCTTACTAACGAACACAAGATGCAATTTCAGAGAATTCTTTTCTTGCTCTAGTATTGTTGGTTTCTCTTCTCCCATTATCTTTTTCATCTTCATTCTTTTTAGCCCAATCATTGATGTAAGAGTGAATCTCTTAATTTGAAAGTTGCTCTGTTTGTTTGAGGTGGGGGTAGAATGATTTATCGCAAAACTGCCAGAAACTGGCTTTTAACATAGTTCCTTAGTGTCCCATTGCACTTGATACATTTCCAGCCCCAGAAATTCCTCTGTCAGATTAAGTGACACTTTGCGACTGGATGAGACTTTGTCCCCACTCTTACCCGGTGCTAATCTACTGCCAGAATTGTAAGCAACTGCTTTCATAACTGACGCCAACGCAGAGTCTAACAGGAAATGCCTGAGAATGCTTAGTCTGTCAGGCAGCAGTAGCTAAGGCTCATTAGGGAGGCTCTGGTTCCAGATTTGCCATGGCAACCTCTAGAGATACATATCTAGTATGTTAGTGACATGCTGACATCACAGTTTGCTCCTTGAAAGAGGGGCAAGCAGAGGCATGACTCCCTTATTATCATCGTGATAATAATGCTGCTGTTAAAATCATGCTGTGTCTGAAGGAGCGGGGCAGAGAGGTGCTTTTACAGTTTAAATCGCTGCCCCAGATAAGAGCATGGAATATGTTACTGTTTTGCATGCTATGTTTTAGAAGAAAAGCGGTTTGCTATAGTAGATAAAAGTCTATTAGCATTCAACAAAAAAAAATCTAATTTATTGTTCTTCCAACCAATACTTTAACAATGAACTACAGAATAAATCTTGTTTACTTTTAATTATATCACCAAGTTTCGGTCTTTTTCATCTTAGTTATTTCTTTTATTACGCATTGAAAAAACAACAAACTATTAATTCAGTGGGAGACTGTAATGGTGGAGCTAAAGCTTGGGACAGGCAGTCAGGTTCTTTCAAAACCATTGGATTTCACTTCAGTAGTCCCAAAGACAGAATGGGCACACAGGGGATGAGGCATGGGGAGAATTAGCGATGATCTTTTGGAGGCAGCCAGGCTGTGCTACTACTTGAGCTGGAAGGAGGGATGTGGGTGGAAGCATGCATGTCAGAGAAACAGCAGAGTGCCATGGAAGAATGAGACTGTCATCATCAGAGGTCGGGATAAAGATTCTCCTGTTAAATTCTGAATTTTCCCTGGGTGAGAGGTCTAGTTCTGAAAGAAGAAAGGAGAAATTGCACAGCTGAATTGACGAAGTCCCTGTGAAGGTTGGGGTGTTGTCTTCAGCCTATCAAAATCTGGACCAGATTTCTTTCTGTTTTACATAAGGAGACAGAAATTGAAAGAGAATAGGGGATACAGGCTGGCTAAAATATTTTCTTCTCATTTTATTACCTTTTAAATGCAGTAACAACTCACATCTAGATATCACCTTATCTTAACCCCACTTCTCTACCATCTACCACCCTATTTCTTTGTTCTCCTATCTTTTCCTGATATCTTCAAATTTTCTTCCCCCATTCTCTATTAAATCCAGTCCAAAAACGATTTTGACCACCTCATTCAAACAGATCTGCTCTTATGAAGTCACCAATGATCTCTACCGGTCCATATTCAGGCCTCATCTTACTTAACCCATCACTAGTATATGATGGCACTGATTCACCGCCATCTTTGCATTGACTTTCCCTGTCTCAAGGATACCAAAATCTCCAAGTTTTTGTCCTTCGTCAATGAATCATTTCTTTTTCCATTTTTTATATTTTCCATCTTTATTATTTTTCTTCTCTTTACCCCCACCTTCCCCAATTATTAAGGTGCCCCAGGGCATTGACTCTCTTGACTATAATTATCCTACGTAGTCTCTTAGTTTTAAACACATTATGTATGCTAGCAACAACCAGATTTAACAGTCCAAACCTTCTCTCTAAACTCCGCATAAAACAGCTTGTTTGACATCACCACTTGGCTGCCTAATAAAAATCTCAAATTCAGCATGTCAAAAACTCAATCCTTTATTCTGGCAGTGAGGATGGAGGACAAAGCAGCTGGCTGAGCCTTGCAACTCAGAGCACTGGGCTGGGAAATGCAGCAGGACATGGAATTGGTAGAAAGTGATTAAAGAACTATGGGACTCCATTTCAGACCTGGTAGGTGTTAGTAGTAAAAGTCGTCATTAGGTTTTATTTTTGGCATTTATAATAGGGTCAAATATAAAAGAAGAGACAACACCAAAATAAATAGATCCACAGGGGGTAAATTTTTCCAATGGTCTCAACTTCCTTGGTAACTACATGATAGTTTCCAATGGTAACTGCATCTGTAGCCATGCATAGTTCCCCATTTGAGGGAAATCTCATACCCTGTCTGCCTTTAAGATCCATCTACACCTTATAGAGGCCAAGGGAAAACTTCCCCTTTGCTCTCCGAAGGTTCACTCAAAAAAGGCAGATTAATTACAGAAAAGGCATATAAATTTACTTCACATGTACACAAGAGCCTTCAGAATGAAGACCCAAAGATATAGAGAAAATCATCCATTTTTATGCTTAGGTTAAACAAAGTGTTATCATCCATGTAGGAATATTGAACAAAAAAGGTATGATCTCATGCTCATACTGAGTGGAGTAGCCCAGCAAGGCCTGTCTGCTTAGATTCTTCTTGGCCTCTCTGTTACAGCATTCCTTCCTTCTGGGTGTGGGGCAGGACCCTCTCTGGAATGGGTGTCTTGTGACCTACAGTCAAACAAGATAGGTCAGATAATTTCTTTATGTACAGTTTTTATACAGAAAGGCTGAGGGGAAGTTAGGTAATATGTTTAGGCTTTATGGCTGGCTTTGGGGAAAGGAAATCCTGGTTTCTATGACCTGCCTTGGGAAAGAAGAATTCTAGTTTCCATGGCTAGGCTTGGGGGAGAATGGGACAGAGAGACAGGAGAGAAGGAGAAGTCAAAGAAAAAAACTTTTGCTTCTGAGGCCTTCATTTAGAGGTATTGTTTTCTGTTGAGTCTCAACAACTTCAAGAACGTTATGCAATTCAGTAACCCAGAAAAATATATTCCTTAGAATTCTGAGTTATTCAGTCAAATACAGCTTCTTCTGAGGTGTCCTTTTAGTAAGAGGTGCCTCCTCGTTCTTCCTTGATTCATCTACTAGCTGAATACAGGAACACATGCATGCATACATATGTATCTTGAGGAAATATGGTAGTCCTCAGAAGAACAGAGTTTCCAGTCATATTAAGAAAGAAAATTATTATTATCTACCTTTACATGGCACCTTATTATATTAGCATTTCTGTTATTTTGAAAGGCAGTGGCAGTTACCCTTCTTAGTCATCTTATCCTCACCCTGAGAAAATATTGTTTGTGTGTATACGTATGTGTGTGTGTGTGTGTGTGTGTCTGTGTATTTCTGATAATCAAACATTATTTTTAAGAACTGAGTAATAATCTGAGGTCCCTAAAAAGGCATCTTTCTATGGATGTCCATCTATGACAAAAATAACACCCATCAGAAGTTTTGAAATTCAAAATTCTGTCTTAGTTTAATAGCCAGGTCAAAGTCTTGAACTCCCACTTTTCTTCTGTAAAATTAAAACAGGAAACAGTTGTGATTCTTCTGCACGATGAAACCCTAGAGATTGAAGATTGAGTGTGCACACATACACACACAAATCACCTCTCAATACAGATGTTGAAAACAGTAGCTTGATTGCCAGGGACCACAGGAGGCACTGCCTCCCTGCCAAGCCAGTGGATGTGTGCCCCAGGCCGCCAAGGCACAGATTGAGCATGTGTTGACCTCAGTGAAAGGAGAACTTGTACTAAAGTCTGGAGTTCTAGAGAAGATACCTTGCCTTAAACTAATATTATCGTTGACACCAATAATATCACCTCTCCTGCTGCTTTAAATATCATTTCTTATCAGGGTAGTACTTTTGACAGGTTGTCATAATGTCTTGTACTCAATATCCACCAAAGATAGAAGAAAAAGAGCTCAGGTAGATTTTCAAGGTGTCTTATTTGAAACTCTCTTGTAAAATTTGAATGATAAACATGGAGTTATTCTCAGAGGCACATCTTTCTTGTAAACCTCAACCCATTGTCCTTAACCAAACTATGTCTTACTTGAAAGGATCTTCAGTCACTCAGGCAAACAGAGGCCTGACAGGCTTACCCTATAGGTCAACAGACGTTGGCAGCTTGCTTCATTGCTTAGAGGAACAATCTGGGCTATTCAAGCTCAGGCCACTGATAAAACTGAGATTTAAAAGATAGGTTAGAAAGAATTCATATAAATGGTCAAAGAAGAAATCAATGCTCAAGTAACTGAGGAAAGCAGTCAGAAATCCTGAAGTGTCAACACCACAAAAGAAATTAATAAAATAAAGGAGAGCTGGATTGTGTGGCATCTGTTTGTAAGAAAGTTCAGAATATACAA